GGTGTGTAACGGTGTGTATAGTGGTGTGTGCAGTGTGTAACGGTGTGTATAATGCTGTGCCTGGTGTGTAACGGTGTGTATAGTGGTGTGTGCAGTGTGTAACGGTGTGTATAGTGGTGTGTGCAGTGTGTAACGGTGTGTATAGTGGTGCACGCGGTGTTGTGGAGCGGAGTGCAGCAGCCTGCGCAGTGTGTGCAGGTACAGAGGACGCTCCTGTCTCCCTGTTTACTGTGCTCCTGACTCACACTAACCCTTGATCCCAGGCTCCAGGCAGTCAGGAGCCGAGGTCAGGGGTCCAGTTCCACGAAAGCAGAGATAGAGGCTGGGAGAGAGAGGATAAAACCCGCCACCACCTCAGCTGGGCCACACACATCGCACACATCCAGGAGAGGTAAGACTGCACTTCCATACGGGAGAGGGACAGGGGAGAAGGGACAGGAGACAGGAGACAAGCGTTCGGTGCTGACTGGAGGAGCTCGTCCAGCCATTCCCTGAAAGGAGCCAGGCTATCGGCTTCAACTCCGTGGCGGGCTCTATATGACACGAGATCCCTTCTGATTGCACTGGGGCTTCAGGGGTGGATCTGCTGTAGTCGGTGCCAGAGACGTGCAGTTTCACCCTGATGGAGTATGGGTCAGGCCTAGAATTTCCGGTGGTTGCAGCCGGTTCGTTAGAAATGGCTAGGAAAGATCTTGTTTGCCTGTAGCTCGCCTTAGGTGCCCACTAACGGTCGTGACACCACGTCTGAGTCTTTGTGCAGGAGCTGCTGTGATCAGAGCTTTAAGAGGATTGGCTGCTGTTTCGTTATCCGAGCTTAGAAAAATCGGCCTGCCTCGGAGGAGGCACAGGGCAGAGTGTGTGTAGGGGCTGTGGATTTTGTGGAAGGGTCTTGTTGAGTACAAGCTTGGTCCGTGTCCTATTTCCGCTGGTGCTGCAGCGTGTGGAGCTGTGTCTCGGCTCGTCTGTGACAGAGTCAGCTTGATAGGGTGTCATCGGGGGACTGCGCGGACAGTGTGTGTGCCTCTGTCAGTGTGGAGCAGTATGTTTTGTGTGTGTATAGTTTGTCTAGTCTTCATATCGGGGTTTTTTTTTCACATATTAGCTTCAAGAACAGAAAAACCATGGCAACCATACCTAATAAGACTGGATATTTCAGATATCTACAGCTGTATAACATACACACAGTACATATATCATGTTTAGTTTGGTAAATGGATTCTTGTACATTAAAAAATCCAAAACTGTAAAAAACACGTAAATTCACCCATGTGTAGACAGATATACGAGCGCTCACTGTCTGTGAACCTCAGTCTGAAATGCTGTAAACACGCATGAATATGATTTTCATGTATTTTTGTGTGTTGCGGGGCACGGACTTTGTATACTGTACTGTGAGCTGAGAACATGCCGATGCCCTGTGTGAGCTGTGGGGGACTGTGGGAGGGTGTCAGGAGGGAACACCCTCTCACGAGAGGAAAGGTGCTATTCTAACATTGCTATAGGGCCGCAAACTCCAGAGATCAAATACACTGGGGCTTACCACAGATGACTCCACAGAAATCCTCGGCTATATTTTCAGATTGGTAATAACCAATACACTGCACCCAGAATACAGACATGTGTGTGTCCAGTGAGCTTTCACTCACAAACCCCAGACGCTAACAGATAAAGCTGTCTCCTAATAACCACTGGTTTATCTCACTTTATCTGTCCCTCCTTATCCAAACTGGCTGTGCTTCGAAGATAGCATGACCCAAAACCCTGCTTTTGATAGCCCTGGGGGCTCAAAGTCCTTAAGTAGAGACTTGGGACTGAGGAGCTGTTGTGGAGCTGAGGATCGCCCTCCTCCGAGGCCTGTCTTATCAGTGCGATTGCAAACTCCCTGCTGGTAACGAGACCCGGCCAGACCCTTGGACCTGAGATACTGCCGGCTGCTCCTCGTGCTGTGATTTCACAGGCGTGTCACCCGAGGTGTGTGAGTGCGTGCGCGCGTGCGTGCGTGCGTGCGTGCGTGCGTGCGTGCGTGCGTGTGTGTGTGGCATTCTACATGTAGCATTCTGGTCAAAATGCCAGCATTTCAGCTGAGCAAAAGTTCCCTTTACTATTATGTGTGGCTCTCCATCCTGTATCGCTTGTGCAAATCGCTGTTGTGACAGGATTCACAATCGTGAAAATCGTGGTGCCTTAGAGGTGTGCACAGGAGGTCCGGAGCCTCGTAGCCCCTGCTCCGGCTCCAGCCTGTCCTTAAGACACACAGGGTGGGTGGGGGTGGGGGGATTTTGTACTAACGGATGGCCTAACAGTAAGATCTAACAGTAGGGGGTGCCCCACTGGCTCGGGCCGACTGGTCTCACAGGCCTGCGCGGGTCTGAGGAGGGGTGTGTCATGACCTCACGCCCCCGACGCGCGGACGAGCATGAGCGTCTGCCCGTGTTGCACAGGCCCAGTCGCACAGGTCCGCCAGGGTGCTGACCTGCCTAGCCCTAACCCTGTCTTTCTCTCCCTTTCAGATCCTCATCATGAAGTTCGTGGCTCTGACACTCGCCCTGCTGTTCGCAGGTCAGTACTGCAGCTCAGCTCCTGTAACAACTCGCTGTAACAAGACTGAGCCTCCTGGTACCAAACCAATCTCAACTGCACTGCGCTGTCTGGTACCGTGTCATGTGTGCCCGGTGCCTGACTGACGCATCCTAACGTACTCTGCTGCACTGCCCACTCCTTACAGAGCCTTCCTCTGTGGGATTAGACAGTAACAGACTGGAACGTGCAGGAAAGCCCAGTATGGGACTGTTCTGTGCAGGACCGTGTGGTGCTGCGCTCTGCTGGGCCCGGCAGGGTGGCGCTGTGCCAGCCATGTGAACCCAGTATTGACCCTGCTCTGCCCCTGCAGGTGCCCAGGCCCGGTTCCTCTGGCAGGCGGATGCCCCCCCCTCTCAGTTGGAACAGGTGAGGCAGGCCCTGACCCTGTACGCCGCCCAGGTGCACGAGACAGCCAAGAAAGCCATCGAGCAGCTGGAAGGAACCGAGTTCGGTCAGCAGTACAAGTGAGAACCTTTCTCTCTGGATCTCTCTCTCTCTCTCTCCCTCCCTCTGGATCTCTCTCGGGGTTCGCTTTCATTTTCAAAAGGGCTTCATCGGCCTGGCTGATGAATTTGCAACAGTGTTGCCAAGGCAAAAACAATTTAGTCGAACACTGAGCACAAAAAAACAGAGTGAGTATTTGAATGAGATTATTTTATAGATCCTTTCAAATGTCTTCTCCTTCTTTAAAAAGCTCCTGTCAGTGGGCCTGTCCTCTCTGGACAGCCAGGTCTGCCTGTGTCCAGTTTCTATGTCCAGGCTGTGGTCACTGAGCCTGTCCTCTCTGTTTCTATGTCCAGGCTATGGTCACTGAGCCTGTCCTCTCTGGACAGCCAGGTCTACCTGTGTCCAGTTTCTATGTCCAGGCTGTGGTCACTGAGCCTGTACTCTCTGGGCAGCCAGGTCTGTCTGTGTCCAGTTTCTATGTCCAGGCTGTGGTCACTGAGCCTGTCCTCTCTGGACAGCCAGGCCTGCCTGCATCACCAGTTTCTAACTTCCCTCCCTATGGCTCCGCTCCCCAGCCCCTCACTCTCCCTGTGTCCCTCCCTCCTGCAGGCTGCAGCTGTCCCAGAGCCTGGACAGTCTCCAATCCTATTCCAAGCAGGCCTCTGAGACCCTGAGGCCTTACGGGGACGTGGTGAGCAGCACCGTCTTGGAGGCCACCAAGACCTTCCGGGAGAGGCTGATGGCCGACCTGGAGGACCTCCGCAAGCAGGTGGAGCCCCACAGGGAGGAGGTCCGCAAGACCCTGCAGGCCCACCTGGACCAGTACCGCGAGAAGCTGGAGCCCATCTTCCAGGAGGAGCTGAAGAAGGGGCAGGAGAGGATCGAGGAGCTGAAGAAGAAGGTGGAGCCCGTGGCCGAGGAGCTGCGGGAGAAGGTGAAGGCCAACGTGGAGGAGATGAAGACCAAGCTGACGCCCATCGTGGAGGCCGTGCGCGCCAAGCTGACCGAGAGGCTGGAGGAGCTCAGGAAGGTGGCCGCCCCCTACGCCGAGGAGTACCGGAGCAAGCTGGGCGACGCCGTGTCGGAGGTGCGCGAGAAGGTCGGGCCCATGGCCCAGAACCTGCGCGAGAAGCTGGAGCCCTACAAGGAGGACCTGTCCGCCAAGCTGTCCGCCCTCTGGGAAACACTGGCCCAGAGCCTCAAGCAGTAAAGTACACTGGGACACACTGGAACACTGGGACACTGGCACACTCTGACACTGGGACACACTGGAACACTGACACACTGGGACACACTGGAACACTGACACACTGGGACACACTGGAACACTGGGACACACTGGGACACTGGGACACTGGGACACTGGGACACACGGGCATACTGAGACACTGGCGCAGTGACACTCTGACACACTGGCGCAGTGACCCACTGGCACCCTGGCACTCTCACGCACTGAGGCACACTCACTCACAATACAAGACCCACAGTGTCTTTACCTTTTCACACCCCTCCTTAGGTCTTAATCACTTCAGTGAGCTCACGTTTTGATGACAGGACCGGCGGGACCTGTTTTCCCTGGAGGAGCTCAGCTCTAGGAGTATGACAGAGACTGGAGCGAGGAGCCTGTAGGAGAGGCCCGGTGCTCGACACACACGCTCGCCGGCGCTCTGACGAATGCACTGATATATTCTTGAGCTCGAGAGCCCCGGGGAACCGACACCCTGTGCTAGAATCGTCACCTCTCCCTTCTCTGCTGTTGCTCTGCGTTGTGAACCCTCAAAGGAAGCCCCCCTGTATTGTACCTCTCTCCCCTCCAGTCTGCTGACCCCTGACCCCCCCCACTAATAAAGGACATGTGCTGTTTGCTAGCTGCGTCTCTCTGGTCATTCACTGTGTCATTCACAGCACCACTGGCTCAGAGGCTGCTGGGAGCTGATGTTACTGCCATGAGGCACTGGAGTAAACAGTGAGTGCGCTGAGTACTCTGGGAACATTGCTATCGAGCTGCCCCAGGAGCACTGTTCCCGGCCACTCCACTAGGGGGCGCTCCCGGCACAGGTCAGGCTTGGGTCGTGTTGCCAGTCAGATGTGCCTGGGATTCTCCGAGCTCCAGCCCTGAGCACTGCCAGGGGGCACAGGAGAGAAACACAATTCCTCTTGTGGGGTATTGGGTATAAAACGGAAAATAGGGAGAGTCTTTAGAGAACTGCAACTCATTACACTTACTTACTCTTCAAGGAGCACTCAGGCCTCGTTGCCTCATACAGTCTTCATCTGAACTTCATTTGAGCAGGTTCAGGTGATATTGTCATATTTGTCCACATATTTGTAAAAGTATTACACTTCCTCAGGAAAGCCAAGCTTGAGCTCTGATCACAAAAATGGATATATGCCAAAATGGGAAGCTAGGTCTTATATATCCAACAAATTACTGGTGTCCTTAATTTTGGAGCAGTCTGCAGCTCCTGTCCTGGATGACACAGAGATGAAGTTCCTGCTCTACGCTGATGACCTGGTCCTGCTGTCGCCCACAGAACAGGGGCTGCAGCAGAGCCTGGCACTGCTGGAGGAGTACGGTCAGACCTGGGCACTGCCAGCCCATCTGGACCCAGAACAGGGGCTGTAGCAGAGCCTGGCACAGCTGGAGCAGAACTGTCAGACCTGGGCACTGCCAGCCCTTCTGGACAAGACCAGAGTCGCTGTTTTCCAGAAGAAAGCCAGATCTCAGGGAAACAAGTACTGTACCACTTCACACGGAACAACGAGACATTGGAACACATAACGAGCTGCACATACTTTGTACCGACAATCAATTTATTTTGGAATTTTGGACCTGTCAGTGAAGATACTGAAAAAGGCACTCAGGGCTTTCTACACTATTAGAAAGAGGCTCTAACAATATGAACTCCTCCCCACCACCACCACCAACTCCTGCATAAAAATCTAGCTACAAATATTTGAATATGAAATCCAACCCATTGCCCTATATGGCAGTGAAGTGTGTGTGTGGTCCTCTTACAGAGAAACTATAGAAACTCTGCACACGGAGTTCTGTAAAAACATTCTTCATGTATAGAGAAAAATTTCATTTCAACTACATATACAGGCTTAGATTAGGCCAATACCCACCACTGATCAACATACAGAAAAGAGTAATAAAGTATTGGCTACATCTAAATAGAAGCGACCAAAACTCCTACCACCACAAGGCCCTGTTGAGCCAAGAGCTGAGCCCCACAAAGAGCCCTCTGAGCCAGCTGGTCCTGAGGCTCACTGGCCTGAGTCACACCGACACCAGCCAGCCTCAGGACAGCACTGCTAGAGCACCACAACTCAGACTGAACCACATCACAGCACAGATCAAACAGCAATATCTCACACACCTGGACACACATACAAACTGGGATGCTACAGAACCCCAAACAGACAATACACACTGGCCGAATATTTGACCAATAAACAGCAAAAAAAAACAGACCCTGACAAAGTACAGGTTCAGTGACCACATCCTGACCATAGAAACTGGACACAGGCAGACCTGGCCGTCCAGAGAGGAAAGGCTCAGTGACCACAGCCTGGCCATAGAAACTGGACACAGGCAGACTTGCTGCCCAGAGAGGACAGGCTGTGCTCCCACTGCCAGCAGGGAGAAACACAGAAATGCACTTTCTGCTGCACTGTGAGAAACACCCTGCAATTAGACACACATTCTCCTCTCAAATAACAAATCTAATCCCAGAATTCCCACACCTGTCAGAATCACAACGGGTCCCAATTTGAGGGAGGAGGGAACTCAGTTGAACTGGCAGCCCAGTACGTGATCTCCTGTCACAGCCTGAGGAACAGTGAGCCTGTCTTTCAGTACTGCCCCATGTGTTTGTATGTCAATATCTTACTATGTGTCTGTATTGTAAATGTCTGTAGATTTGTTTTATGTTAATTGTATTTGTTTTGCTTTGGCAACACTGATTTTACTCATCGGTCATGCCAACAAAGCATCCTGAAGTGAATTGAATTGAGAGTGAGAGAGTGAGACAGAGGCGTGATGCGGTGGGAGACAGTGAGACAGAGGCGTGACGCAGTGGGAGACAGTGAGACAGAGGCGTGATGCAGTGGGAGACAGTGAGACAGAAGCGTGACGCAGTTGGAGACAGTGAGACAGAGGCATGACGCAGTGGGAGACGGTGAGACAGAGGCGTGACGCAGTGGGAGACAGTGAGACAGAGGCGTGACGCAGTGGGAGACAGTGAGACAGAAGCGTGACGCAGTTGGAGACAGTGAGACAGAAGCGTGACGCAGTGGGAGACAGTGAGACAGAGGCGTGACGCAGTGGGAGACAGTGAGACAGAGGCGTGATGCAGTGAGAGACAGTGAGACAGAGGCGTGACGCAGTGGGAGACAGTGAGACAGAGGCGTGACGCGTTGAGAGAGTGAGACAGAGGCGTGACGCAGTGGGAGACAGTGAGACAGAGGCGTGACGCGGTGAGAGAGTGAGACAGAGGCGTGACGCAGTGGGAGACAGTAAGACAGAGGCGTGACGCGGTGAGAGAGAGACAGGCGTGGCGCAGCGAGAGAGAGCTGTGGCGCTGTGGCAGGGGAGCAGTCTTGATGAGTCTGTGGATACAGGCTGTCCTGTGGCGCAGAGCAATATCATTGCCTGGTGATGTATGGGAGCTGCCAGCAGTCTGTCAGCGCCACACAATGGCCTATCGATAAGCTGTGCGGGAGGGAGCAGGTTCATTAGACCTGGGAGATGGATGGCCACCCTCTCTCCCCCTAGGCTTGGCCTCTCAGCACCGCGTCATTACTGCTGCTCCCAGTGGACAGCTGACACCCCACCAGCCACACCTGCCTGGGCCACCGGCTCCCTGCCGCCGCCTGTCTGTCTAGTGGCGGCTCGTAAGGTGAGGAGCAGGCTGGTCTAACCACAGAGGTCCGACAACAACCCCACCCTTACTGTACATCCGTCTGAGGTCCCCTGAAGCAGGGGATTTCTAATAACGAGACGGGGTTCCTGGTTCTGGAGGAAAAGCCTCGTCTCAGAGTCACACTCCATATCCCCGTGAGGGGATCTGCACCCACCAGAGACGCTTGTACACGAGCTGGGGAGCTACGCC